ATTTGGGATGTTGGCCAAGCGGTCCAATTCCTGAAGCAAAAGCTTGGCTGTTTCCTGTAAGCATTCCTTTGTTCCTAAATAACTACCACCATAAGTGATGCAGAATCACGTTGCAGAATTGTGTAACATCAGTTAAATGCACATGCATTCAATGATGCTCAAGAGAAGTCTTGCTTGATCAGATCAGGGACGGGTGTTACTTTGACTAGTTGAAAAAAACATGAATTGGGCTTAAAGTGATTGTCTATGTTGTGAAAAATACCCTCTGAAAAATTTGCCATTTATTGGAGCACCCAGTAATTATTACACTTCTTTTGCTCTTTATGCTGTTTTTTGTTGAGTTGAAGAACTTGATACTCTTGAATTTAATGGAGAAAAATATTGTCTTATACAGTAACTAAATATTTTTGTGTTAGTTAGGTCAAAGTAAAGGTTTTCTCCTGCTCATTTGTTATAATTAGAAAAAAATATTGAGCTTTACCCATGACTCCAAATTGTAAATCAGTAATATTTCAGTAATTGTTTCCTTATCTACGGTACTTTTTAAAGATTCATATTGTCTGTAATGTCTCTTTGCAGCATGTTTTTGCTTCTTGTAACTTCTATTCTCTTCCAAATGTCTTTTCAATGTATAGACAATATATGAAATTGCTATTCTGTTTTGCTTTGCTTTGTGATCTGGATTAATTGGATGTCAGATGTTGGATTTAAAAAGTTGCTTTCAGATGTTAGAGATAAAAAAAATGTTCTTTATTCTCATAGCAATTGTAACTTTTTATTTAAGAATATATTAACATTTCACATTTTCAATACTTTTCTTTCTGCTGTTTTCTATCTTGAAAGTTTCACTAATTTCCATAAGCGTAGGAATACAGCCTCATGGTAGGACTTAAACTATGCTTCTAGTTCTTGTTACTTCTACTGAATTTTTTTTGTTATTGTTGTCTTTTTCTTTCATGTTTTTTGTTTATAAATTATTTTGTATTACATGCATTTGGATTGTTCTTACTACAAATTTTTTCAGTATTAGTAATATATTTTCAAAATTTGGAATAGAATACATGAATGTTGAAATTATGAGTTGTACACTAAATTGTTTAAAAGGGAAAAGAAGCATACATTCTTTTATGTTTAATTAATGATATTGTGAAATTTTTGACATTTTAATCAATGCATTTACAAATTCACCATTTCATTTCTAAAATGTTATCAAATTTTTTAAATTAAATACTGATTTCCAGTATCCAGTCAGTTTTATAGGCCTTCAGCTTATCTTTTGTACTCCCTTTAAAAAGCTGTAATTAAACTTCAAGGCTCATATTTAAATGAAAGCAACAGGTCCTGCACTTATAAAAAAATTTCAAATTTAGTCTATTAAGTGCACTCTAAATAATTTCCCCCCAAAATTAATTAACATAATAAAATTATACACACTAACCAGCAAACTCACATATAGTTAAGTTGGCATGCATAAATCTATTCTGAACACTCAAATTCTTTCATTTAAATAAACTTCTAATTTTTAAAACAAGCCACCAAAGCAGATCAATACAATTATTCCTATAAGTGCAAATAAAAAGGCTGAGTCCCCCAAAGAACACATTGCTTTCTGTAATTTCTTAAAAGCATATTATTCATTTCTTAATAAATTTTCCCCTTTCCCCAGCTATTTGACCAAGGAGGTACATTATGGGCACAAAACAAGGCGTTGTTGAAGAATAGTTTGGGACAGTAGGTGTTATTGGGTTAAAGTGTTATTTATTGTTTATTAAAAATTTTAAATTGCTCATTAGCCAAACTGGCTGAGTTACAATAAAACATATTAAAAGATACAATTTTAATAAAAACATATAGCAAAAAAACCCAAATAAAATGCAAGCTAGGCAACAGCAAGGCAATCATATGAAGCTAAAACAATATAAATTAAAGTCCAAATAAAGTGCAGTAAAAAGGCCAGGGGAAATAGATTTTCACCTGGTATCAAAATGATCAAGTGGAAGCTAGCTGACTCTGTCGAGAGAATTTCACAAATGGGGTGCCACTGCAAATAAAATAAAATCAAAGTCCCCCTTTGTTGAGATCCATGTCAAGTTCTTTGCTGTGATGGGAACTTAGAAGAGGGCCTCATTAGATCTTAAAATCTCATTGGGTATTGAGAGGACAGGCTCTTTCAATTAATGTGGTGCTAAACCATTCAAGGCTTTAGAGAAAATAGGGCTTGACTTTTAATGCCCAGAACATGCTACAGAGAATTTGGGAGGAGGGTATTAATTTGGTTATAGGGAATGAACTTTTCCCATATGCAGTTAATCAATCTGAATCCCACCTTCTTCCATTGTATCTCCACCTTGATTAAACCTGAAATTTTGCTCCGCTTTCCTTATGGCGTACCCTAGTCTTAATGGAATCTGGTTACCTTTGAATTTTGAAATACTTGGAGAATCTAAAAGGATCTAAGGGATCCGAGAACACATGTTGCCCTCAGCCATGAATGCACAAATTTTTTTAGCCCAAAAGCCACATGAGATCTTCGTGCATCTTCAAAGACCTACTCTAGAAGGGGGTATAACTAATTGCTGATCCTTAAAGAAGATCTTAAAGAAGAACAGGAGTTTGAAAGGGTAAAGGTGGTGCATTGAACACTTGCTATCAACTTGAACCTTTAAGAGACCAACTTTGGCCTTGCTGTTTGGGGAACTTTGGAGCCAGAAAAAGAAATGCTGGAAAGCCACCTGTGGTCCTGGGATAAATCTTGCTCCATTCTCTTTAAAATCAGGTTTTTTTGCAGACCTGTGCTTTGATGTAGGCTTACTCACTTTCTGTCTGGTGTTTCTAGCTGTTACCTGAAAATGTGCAAGGGGCCAATAGAATGATTTGTTCCCATTCTACCTTCCTACTCCAGTAACAATTTTACATAACAAGTAAGAAATATCACATGCGTATTAACAGGCAGTGTAGTATTGTGGTTAGGGAAGATTCAAATCCATCCTCAGTCATAAAAGCTCATTAGGTGATTTTGGGCCACCCAGTCTGTCAGCCCTACCTACCTCACAAGGATATTAATAGTAAGCAAAAGTGGGAGGAGGAATCATGATGTGCCTGCCTGTCTTTCCCTAAGGCAGGGCAGAAATCTAAAAAATTCATAATAGAAAACGTAAGATCCCTTTCTAATATTCTGCTTTGAAATAAATGTTGCTTAACAATGTTTTCCAGAAAGTGCTTCCAGGTATTTTTCATTTATCTGTTAAGATGGACCATGTGCACAAGGATTAAATAGTCAACTGCTCTCAATAAAATCGAAGGATGATTGTGCATGATTCCCTCTTGCTTTCCACTGAGATGGATCACAGGAAGCTTAACAAACCTATCAGAAATAAAATGTGTCTGACTAAGATACGAGGCTTTTAAAACTGGGAAACCTTTTAGAAGACATTTCTGGTTTAGGCAAACTTAAAAAGCTCAAACGAAGTGCAAATTGTTCTAAACTTATTAAATATGTCGTTCCTCGCATTTCATCCCTGTAAGGTATCCTGCAACATGTAACATACATATGAAATGATGTTGCATATACATTTAGAGTACAAAAATATGTTTTTGAGGTTTGCTGATTCTGCCGTTTCTGATAGGCTTATTTTGTTCTGTGCTGAGTCATAAGAATTCACGGTTATGGAGTTACATGGAGTTTGTAGCATGGCCAATTAAACTTCTAATCTTATATAAAAAATAGGGGAAGGGGAGCAAAAAAACTAGAAGGATAACCCATTCAAATTTAAGCCCTTTTGAACACCACAAATTTCAAACTGGAGAGATTTCACAATATGTTCAAAATTCCACACTAAACTAATGAAACACAAATGGCTTGATTTTGTCAGATTGTATTGCTGGTTACATAACATTTTTAACTTTACTGTACATTCAGATTAGTCACAGTAGGATACACAAGTATGCCTCAAGTCAAAATCTAGCGCAAGTTCAAAATGAGAACTCTTAGCTTCCATCATTATGTCCATTTCATTGGAGACCTTATGCAGAAGAAGGGAGATTGCATGACATACAATAAATACTGAGCATACTAGGGGGGGAGAGAAAAAGCAATTGGAAACTAATGGCATATTAATAAAGTTTGAAAACTCAGGTATTAATATAATTTCACTCATTTTCCTTCACCGATATGGTCAGTCCCCACTGTTTTCAGGCTTTGATTTCTGCACACAACACTCTGAAGTATGCTGAATTTGCTTAACATAGTAAAAGTTGGAAGAGGGAATGACACACAAAGGGAGGCACACAACTTCAAGGATCTTAATGGAGCTCCCTCCATGTTAACTTGCAAAAGTTAATAACTGCACCCATGGGTGAGTTTTCCAAAGGCAACTGGGCTTTGTTTTTCCTTGAAGACCTTTTGCTTGTCATCCAAGAAGCTTCTTCAGTCAAAACTGAAGAAGCTTCTTGGATGAGGAGAAACTTCTTCATGGAAAAACCAAGCCCAGTTGCTCTTTGAAAAAGCACCTTTGGGACAACCATGGCCTAGATGACCGAGACTCTCCATAGGCATGAATAAGAGCAGCAGCCAGTGCATTTCCCGACGAACTTTGAACTTGGCAAGTGCACGGGAATTAACCCTGTTTCTTTAGCCCTGTATTAGAAAATAGCTGAAGAACTCACCATACCAAAGATTCTCCTTGAACAAGCCATTATTACTTGCATTGGAACGAGAACGAAAAGTATTTCAGGCACCAAAGGTTCGCGTATCAGTCCCCTATACCAGGTTTTAAAAGTTAACAGCCGAGCTAGGAGTCTAGCCCCATGCAGTGCAAAACCAGCTAAATATATGATTATAATATTATCATTACTACCGTTACGGTTATTTGGGGGGTGGGGTGGGTGGGTGGGAAGAGTCGGAAGGGTGGATCGTCAGTATCGTTTGTCCCCGTTTGAAAGAACGCGGGGCCAAGTCGAAAGAGGAAGGTCGGAGCGCTGGCAAAGACGGGGCGGTCCGTTCAAACGATCGCCTGGGGTTCCGAGGTGAGGTCTTCGGTGGGGTTTATATAACAACAGTACCTGTCGTAAGGGCTGCTCTCCGTGTAGGAGCAAACGATGATGCTGTCGCTGGGGACCACGCTCAGATCGTCCTCCGCCGGCCAGGGAGAGGCGGCGGCGGCCCCCTCGGGGACAGGGGACTCCCCCCGCGGCTGGTCTAAGGCACTGTAAGGAGAGGCCTCGGCCACAAAAATGTTCCCGCCGGGCATCTCCGGATAGCACTTCTCCAAGTACCTCAACATTTCCTCCTGAGCCACTTTGGGGTCCAAGGCCACGCAATCCCGCGGGGCGGGGGTGGCGAGTGAGCCTTTCCCCTCGCAGGCCTCCTGGAGGGTCGCCTCAGCCGGCTGGGCGTCGCGGGCTTTCAGGGCCAGCTCGTCGCAGCTGCTTTTGCCGGACTCCAGGTCCGAAGGGGTCCTCAGCAACTCCAGGACCTCTTTGTCCTGGGGTTTCTTGCGGCACCAGCCGCACGGGGGGCAGTAGCTGACGTTGGGCCATTTGCTGCAGCCGTCGGTTTTCCTCGTCAGGGCGATAGCGGCGATGCCGGGCAAGCAGATGGCCGGTCCGATAGCCAGAAGTGGGATGTCCCCCAAAGTCTCGCCTTTGATCCCGGAAACCGTGAACATGAAGCCAAACACCAAGAAGACGCTGACCAAAGCCACCACCAGTCCGGTCCGTGGGTTGATGTCGTCGGGTCGCATGGCTTACGAGCCCTCTAAGGTCATGGGATCCCGTCGCTCCCCGAAGAAACGCGGGGAGGGGGAGCGGGCTCCGTTTCCTCGGAGCAGCCTTGGGGCGGGAGGGAGGACAAGGCGCGGCGGCTCCACGACGGGCTCCAAAGTCGCTCGCAACGTTTACCGGACACCTCGCCTCATCTCGCACTTCCCCCTCTTCCCCTCCCAGCCGGGCTTCCCCTTGCCCCGATCCCCGCTGCTTTTGCTACCACTGCCGCCGCCGCTCCTGCTTGCTTTTAGCTCGGTTGCTGCCGCTCGGAGAAACTGCCTTTTTCCTCGGCAGCCCTGAAAGCACGTGAAATCCCGAGGGCTTCTTGGCTCTTCCCGTTTGGATGCCCGGGCCAGGGTTCAGCGATGCATTAAAAGCAATTGCAAAGACTTTTTGCCCTAGCAAGAGGTCCCAATATGCCCAACGCGGGAGCGAGCGAGGGAATTATTAGGTAACACACGATTGCGATGCGTAGCTCAAAACGATTGCAAAAGGGATGGGGGTTCGGCCTCGTGCGGTGAGAAGGGAGCACGTGAAGCGGCGATCCTCACCTAGTTCGCCTGGAACCCAATGAATTTAATGGGAGTTCTCAAAAAAAACAAAACAACCCCCTCCTCATGCTTGTGGTTCTGAGTTGCATTCTGCCCCATCAAGAGGAAGAAAACAAAATCGAGCACCTGCCCTGCTTCCCCCCACCCCACCCCTCCCATCCACCCACATCCTTGGCTAAGAAAAAGAAAGAAGAGAAAATCGCGTAAAAAGGACCCCTTGGGTGTTCGGATTCTGGAACCCAAACAGTTGCAAGGAGACAAGCCGTGGGTCTTCCGGGGCAACAGACCTCCTTTTCAAGCCACCTACGCAAGCCCATCCACGTGTAGATAAGAGCGCGTCCCGGCGAGCTCAAGGTAGGCTCGAGCGCGGTTCGCAACCCGCGCCCTTTTCCCAGGGCGAAGAGCCCGCGCTGCTCCGCAGCAACAAGCAGAACTTGAAGTCCTACGACCCCTCAGCTCGGCCCTCTCGCTCTTCCAAGGCGCCCGCGGTACGCGGAAGAAATGGCGGGAAGTTTCTTGGCGGGTAGTAGCAGCCGCTGCCTAGTATTTGGGGTGCCAAACAACGCCTTGGTTTGAATCAGAGGGAAGCCGTAAAAGCACCTAGCAATAAACGGTAAATAATAACTGCCGCGTTCCTCCCTGCGGAGAGCAGCAGTTCTATGTGGAAGCACGTGAGGAGCTTGTAACGCTAATACGACAGAGGAGAGCTTGGACGGTGGCCATTAGTCTGGTTTCAAAAGAATCTAGGAAAAGAGCGGCAGAATTTTAAAAAGTGACGGCACATCACATCATAACATTTACTATTCGTGCAGGTGGAAGACTGTGGTTAACCCATGCGATATGCCAGCTTCACATTTTACGTGTGATGGGGTGTCTCGGGTGACACTTGCCACGGTGTCTTTTACACAATGTGTGACTTAGACTTAGGGACTGAGTTCCTGGTAAACGTGAGGCTGTCATGGAGAGATGTGTTCACAGCCGAACATAGTTTATGAGCCCCATAAATGGACCGTTTTGCGTTTGGCACTCCCTTTGTGAAAATATCTGTCGGTAAATTCCATTTTTAGATGTACGTGTGTCTGGGTGAGAGAGGAGCCTGGGGGCGCGAAATCTGAACTTTAATGGTATTGATAGGAAAAAGAAAGTGTCTGGGATACAGAATTAGCTATATCAGAAGAAAGCATTTTGTTCTTGGAATTAATACCTCAGTTTCGGGACTACATAGAACTTTTCCTTTTTATCAACATTTTATCTTTTTTTTTCTAGCTGTCTGATACTGTTTCCCAATTCATTATTGTTTGAAACTGTAAGCCAGAATGGAAATAAATAAAATTATTTGCTTGTTTAGTAAAATCATTCCTCTTAGATCAAGTCTCTTTATCATAGCCCTATCTATTCTATCTCATAATGGTTCTGCAAGAGCTAAAGCTGACATCCTCCACATTGCTTGCTATTTTATACTTTTCAAAAAAATTAATTTGAATGGAATTCAAAGAATTAAATTTGAAATCTATAAACATGTATTTTAAGACTGAAATTCCTGTTTATTCTTAAATATATCACACCAGAAAGTTCAGTTCTGATTAAACGTCTGGATTACAACTGGGGTATTAGTGAAAAGATTTATTTTTTTTATACCCAGTTAATTGGTTGCTTTGAGTATAGAGGTGTCTCTAGTAGGCTTCTTTTAGAGACATTATTTCAAAATTCATGGAATTCATTAATGGAATAAGTGGATATTTCATGAGAGATAATCTAGTGGTAGATAAGGTACTTGAAAGAGATTATTTAAAAAAGATTATTCTTCAGGCTGATTTGTATTCTTGATGGCTTCATGGACCCATCAGTGATCTTTTCTTGATTTGTTATTGTCTTGATCCAGGATGCTTCCTCAATTTTCCACTTTAAACTGGAGTACTCAGGGACTACATGAAAATACTAACTGGCCTCAGCCCTGCTTATCTTTCAAGCAAATACATGGGGTATGTGAAAGAGCAAATACTGTTACCTAATTGCAGATTAAGACATATGTTCTTTGTTTTCTTCAAATTTCTTGCCCAGATCCCTATGTAGGTTTACTATATTTGTGTGTGAAAGAGAAAGAAAAACCAGTGGCAAGAGTTGTAATATTGAACCCATGTAGTGTGGGGGAATTCACTGGAGAAAGCAATTATGTTTGGAAGAGTTAGCCATAAAAGGAAACCAGGCCACCAAAAAACATGGTGGGTGGACACCATCAAAACTGATACCAGCCACAACAGAACAACTCAAAGAAGTAGTGCAAGATCAGAAGATGTGGAGAGATCTGGCCATAGGCCATAGAATTGCCAAAAGTTGGACATGACTGAATAGATAACATCATCATCATCATGTTGCATATTATATATACATATCTTTTGCAGATGTGAGTGTACATAAATATGTTTTAGTTCTGTGTATTGAACCATGTCTAACATAGATGATAGGATCACGTCTTAGGTTCTGAAGTTCTAAGTGGTGAGGTGATGGTGCCAAGAAGACAGATGGAAAGAGTGAATTATTTGCGTCAAGCATTTTATGCCAGTTTGCTTCAGAACACTCCCCCAAACCAGGTGTTTGCTAGTATAATCAAATGTCAGCTACTAGAGGTTTCTCATTTTTTCACAGAGAAAAATAAATGCATGTGAAGATCTTATTTTCAGTAGAACTCACCTCAGCAATCTAATGTTTGATGCAGATTTAAGTGCTTCTTTGTGCCATTGTTTCTTTACCTTCTGGCTCAATAATATAATATGGAATAAATCCTGAGGGGGAACTGCTCTCTAGAGAAATCTTTATTGCTTGTGATCAATCATGCAAATTGCATTGAAGTTAAAGAAATCTGGGAATTGATATTGGGCTGTAAATGTGAATAAATTGGGACCATAAGTGAATGGATCATTTGGTTGCAACCAATGTATATGGGAGAACAAATGTACCTGGTTTTTTTTTCCCAGTACCACATTTCACTTGAAATTTTCTGGTTCCTCCTCTTCCTCCTCTCCTTCCCCAAAAAGGTTTTCCCCAGACATTCCCCGCCAAATTAAGATCCAGATTAACTAAAGGAATTGTTATATTGTTTGACTTTAGGTGAAATATTCCTCCTTTCAGTATGCCATAATTTTGTAGAATGCAATTGGGATTCCTTATCCTAAAATCTAGCAGTACTACTGAACTCTGATGTTTCCAGAAGTTTCCTTTTTATTTGACCTGAAATTAGGAAAGTAGTCCTGAACTTACTATCATTTACTTGGCATGAGTTTGAAATTATGGTGGCATTGAAAAAAGTGACTTACAACCATCTGGCACTTAACAGTTGTTGCAGCATTTCTGTGGTTTGTATGATCAAAATTTGGGAGCTTGACAACCATTATGTATTTACGATGGCGGCAATGTCCCAGGATCATCTGATTGCCATTCCCAGCCAGCTTCTGATAAGAATACTCAATGGGGGAAGGAGGATTTGCTTAATGACCATATGATTCACTTAACTGTAGTGATTCATTTAACAACCATGGCAAAAATGAGAATAAAATTGGGCACAATTCAACAACTGCCTTGCTGAGCAATGGAAATTGTGGTCCCAATTGGGGTTGTATTTGATATAATGAATGTGTGTGAAGGGTTGTAATAATGAATAATGTGTGAAGGGTTGCAAACCATGAATGGATTGGCCTTTTTTGTTGTAGCTCCCACCATCTGGAATATCATCCCATCCGAAATTATATCATCCCTGTCTCTATTGGGGCTCCCATAAGACTTGGCTCTGGGAACTTGGGCCCCTGGGTATGCGATAAAGTACATACCTAGGTTATTTCTTGAGTGGCTGATGATTGCTTGTGTAATTTTTCCTCGATGCAGTATGTTTTTGTATATTTTGCATTATTTTTAATATTGTTAGTTACCCAACGTCACATACTTGAGATATATACATCTAAGAAATGATGGGAAAAGAATAGAATACAGAATAACAGAGTTGGAAGGACTTTGGAGGTCTTCCAGTCCAATCCCCTCCTCAGGCATATATCATTTGGGACATGTGGCTGTCCAATCTCTCCTTTAAAACCTCCAGTGTTGGAGGAGAAAAGAAAGAAAAAAGAAAATATGCAAACTAGCTACTATCAGGAAAAAAAGGCATTGTGACTGGCCCCTTAAAAGCGTCTGACATGTTCTTGACAGATGTGGAGCCTAGAGTTCATTGGCCTGGTTGATGTACAGCTCAAATTAAAAACTCCACAAGGGCTAGTGTTTCAGTGTGTTTGCAGTAGCTATTAATTCTAACAGCTTCTACAGTCACTTTGCCAATTTTGTTCCATCCATCTTGCAACATCGCTTCCAACGTGCTTGCTTTTTCACACACTGGGATGCCCAGTGGTAAACAATGTATGTGCAGGGTCTCTTAATTATTA